CCCCCCGCGCCGGAGCCTGCCTCAGCCCATCGCTGTCATTAGCTGCGTCCAGCCTCAGCCCTCCCCCCCACAGGTTTTCCTCTCCCTCTTTTTTGGAGGGGGTCCTCTTTGGTTTTGGGGGGTGCCGCCAAGCATTGGGGTGCACTTGGTCCTCGCACGGGTACGTGGGGCCTGCGTGAGCATCCGCGCTGGTGGGGTCGGATGCTGCGGTGATGACCGGGGCGTCATGCTTTGCCAGCCCGGCGGCCCAGGACAGCTGTGGTTCAGTTCGCCTGGAGGGTGCAACTCTGCCTGCTTGCAGGCTTCACCTCTCTCTGTCAGTCCGTTAGTGATGGGAAACTCAGACGCTGGCCTTATTCCAAAAGCACCTTGATGCCCACCTTGTTGGGGTCATCTAACCCCAGCGGTCTTTCCTGCCCAAGTGCCAGGGGCTGGACCTGATGATCTGTAAGGTCCCTTCCAGCCCCTAACAACTATGAAACTGTGAATTGTGACTTGATGGAGGTTTCAAACGTGCTTTATCAGTGTCTTTCCCGGCCCGCCGCAGAGATCCGTGGCCTTCTGCTCAGTCCACACTCGGTCGGAGTCTCCGTCCCCCTGCAGCTGACGCCCGTTCTTTGATTTCTACAGCCACTCTTCTCACTGCCGAGCCTTAGAGCAACATCTGCAAAGGTACTTGGGCATTACAGGATCTGACCTCTGGGTATCTGCCACTGAATGCAATTCACAGTCTCAAGTTGATGCTTAGGTACCCCAGAAGGTACTTGGGGGAAATTAGGCTTCTACAGGCAGGATTCTCAGAAACCAGTAAGATGGGTGAAGAGCTTCATGACCTTGCCCATAGGAAAGGCCAGAGAGAAGGGCAGGGCCTCAAAAGTAGTTAAGCATCTGTTTCTACTTGCGATTTCCAATTGTGATCTCTGTCCTCTAGTTAGATGCTTAAGACAGGTCACCCATTCTTATGAAGCCCATGGGAGACCTAACTCATTTGTGCCCAAAGCCCCAGTGTTTCAGACCGTGGACCATCGTCGTGCCTGATGTTGAAGTGAGGGATTAACCCAAAGGCTCTCATATCCCATCTGAGTGCCTGATTCACCAGATTACAGACTCTTTCTCTTGCCTACTCTTTTTCTTTCTATTTGTTATATTCAATATAGTATAAAACAGAACAGCTTCAACAGGCAAGCTCTTCCCACCACCTGATAGCTTCATAGTTAGAGCACTCTCATGATGCAGGGGGATCTGGGTTAAAGTCCATGCTTCAAGTTGAATGGAGAGGGGAGTGAATCCTGGGCCTTCCACATCCCAGGAGAATGCTGCAACCACTTGGCCTTTTACACACCATACTGTAATAAGATGCGCAGCCTCCAAAAGTTTTATCTGTGGCAGGTTTTTATGCAGGACTTGATCTGGTAAGTATGCTCTGCAGGCTACCAGATTGGGACCTGTACTGATAAATAGAGGAACGCCTAGTTTAAGAATCCTATAAAAGTTTATATGTGAACAAGTATTTCAAGCTCCTTAGCAATATTAGGGCTTACACTATATGCACTAGGAGCCCCAGAGCTTTTCTGTCAGAAACATACATAGTGACTTTAGGTAGCACTTGAGTGAAAGTTGTGAGGATTTAAGTGGTGTTTTTGGATTCTTAAATTATTTTAAAGGTTAAGCCTTAGGCCCAAATCACCAAAAAAACAGGTATTTCTATACCAGGCAGGACCAAGGTCTACCTAGTTTAGTTTCTGGGTTGTTTCTGATGATGGCTAATACCAATCCTACTGTTTAATCGTATGTTATATGACAAAAGCATTTCCCTTTATTATTTTTTAATTTCCTTGAAAATTAATGTTTTCACTGATTTCTCTATGCTTAATATTGTTTAATTTGTAATGTGTATTTGAGTGTGTATTTAACATGTATGTCTTGCTGTATATGGATGGGATGCAGATTCAGCTGTAAGGTCTGTCAGGGACAAATGGGAATTTTGCCACTAAATTTAGTGGGCTTCAGCATATAATCCATCTTCCACTGAAACAGTGGAAAGACCCCCATCAGTTTTTTAGAGGCCAAATTGTGCTGTTAGCAAACATGGTATTCTTTAGACCTTCAGAAGAAATTCTCAGTCATTTAAATCTCTAGCAAGATCAGAGATTTATTACAATAATATTACAAATTCTTCATGAAAATTACTACAATTACTTTCTTGGTTGTGTAATCTTCATAATTTTTTTGTATAGGTCTAATTTGTATGTAAAGTTTATTATAATGGTTTAGCAGTAAGAAACCACTACAAATTCTATAAAAGTGTCAACACAAAAAACAAAAGTCAAACTGAACAAAACCACTAAAATTAAACAAAAACTAACCCAAACTGAATGTATCTTGTAGTCTGAAGCTGTTTAGGTATAAGCCATGATGCATAATAATCATTAACTGTGTAATAAGTGATGAGAAGGATTGCTTTTAAAGTCCTAGTTTGTCTCTGGTTTTAGATGGTCCCAAAGCTAAATCAGGGATTCCAGATTGAACTCTCTCTTAGAAAAACTCCTTTCTTTTCTGCTCCCAGAGACATATCATGCTTTATATAAATTAGCTATGTGGTCCTTTTTTATTGTGTTTTATGACTTTGTGACCTGAGGTCTTTGTATGAAAAGGTATCAAAATATACTGTGCATTAGTTTGCTTATATAATGTTTAGCTTTCAGTAGTGCTAAAACCCCAGGAATAGCTCAATAATGAAGTGCCTTATTATAATAGTGTGCCATTCTCAGTAACGGGATAAAACATGCTCTTCAGAAACTGCAGTGCAGTTTTTGTATGGTTTTGTTTGAAAGCAACAATGAAATGGATTCGCTTTTCAGAAAGCCTGTTTTAAATAGATCATGCACAGCTTTTGATACAACTCAGTACAGAACAGGGTGGTATCTCTCAGCTGTTTCTTATACCTATCACAAAATAAATTATATTTGTTAAATTTAACAAATAGCTGACTTTTCCCCCCTTTTAAAAATCTTGTTTTCCCATACTTATTAAAAGTTTGTGCCTTGAGGCCTGCCAGCAGGGCTTGCAATACCTACATTAAACCAAATTTAAAAGTAAGGGTGCTCCTGCTGCTAACGTCCTCAGATCACAGACATGCAAAATGAAGGAAGTGGCAGCTGAAACTTTAACGGTGGGAAGAGCAGACTGAATACTTGGGGGGGAAACAAAGTAGCTCTATGTGACAAAAAAGTCCTATTAGCATTGATGTACTTCAGAATGACAAGCCAGTCTGTTCTATATAATGAGGGGAGGGGGTCCTTTCAGTTTTGTTTTGCATAAGTAAAATCCTTTGTTCATATACCTTTACTTAAGGTTATTAATTTAAATGATTGTTGCTGTTATTTATCATTTTGTAGGTTAATACAAAGCCTTTTGTATCGCTAGATTTCAGACTAGGTGTTTTACTATAGCTGCAGTATCCCTATTCATTTAATAAGGTGCTATTCATATTTGAGGTTCCAGATAATTGGGGGGAAAAAATCACTCCAGATCTGACTTTGAACTCAGATATATCAGGTGCCCTTCAAATATATTGGGAGTATCCCAGTACAGGGATGTAAAGCCAATGTAAAATGATCAGAATCAGTCCCAAAACTGTAACTTTCAAATATCCCATCCTTTAAGACCTATGCACATTTATAAAGTGCACAAGTCTTTGCAGAATTGTGGCCTAATTTTGCCCACAATGTAGCAAAACAAAAACAGACAGTAGATGAAGAAAGACAAAAGAATGGGTCTGAAAGATAATGATTTTACATTATATGCACGTAACTCTTTTTTTAGTTCAAAATGAGTATATTGCCTCCTGTGATGCTCCAAAGCCCAAAGAGTCATCCCAGCTTCCTAGAGAAGATGGTTTGCTCTTCATCAAAACTTGCAAGGTATGTGAGTATTTATCTTTCTTCAAAGACATTTTTGGTGTAAGTAGCCTCAGTCATGAATCTTAGAGAAAATTGTAGTTTGGTTTAGTTGTTGGGTTTTTTTTGGTGGGGGGGGAATATATAAAAACTTAAAGTTTAAAGACATGGAAAGTTAAAAATGGCAATAGGAAATCCACTTGTCTTTTTAGAAACAGATAAAATCTTAAATGATCTTGTCATTTAAATTATATTAGAATATTATTTTGATATCATTGTATTATATTTGTGTATCATACCATACAAAAAAATAAAACTAAAACACTGAAACACAAATAACTACAACCACATAATTTTTTAAGTCGTCATAATTTCATAGGCTGTGAATTGGGAGGATATATTAATCAAGGTCAGAGATAAAGAGCATGTTAAGATGGCTTGGAAGGGTTCTGGCAGGGGAGAAGACAAGTTCTGGGGAACTGTGGTGGGGTGTTACTGGAGAAAGGAACTGTAGTGAAGACAGGAATGATCAAGGGGAATGGTAACAAAAGAATCTTATTAAGGTCTAAAGCAAGTGGGAGAGTCACAGGAGTCTAGGCTACATTGTAAATGATCCACCTCCCCCCTATGCTCCTGAGTCAGCCACACTTGAACTAAGTGGAGAGGCTGCTCCATTGCGTGGTCAGAGGCTGGAAAGCTCTATATGAGCTACTGAAACACTTAAACTTTGAAACATTTCACTAGCCTCTGTCAACCCAGTTCAGATCTGGTTGAAGTTGGGTTGTACAGGCTGAGCTAGGTAAAGAGGCTGCCTCAAGTGCAAGAGAACATGGTTGAACCCAGAAATAGATTTAAGGAGGACTAAAGGGAGGGAGACAGAAGCAAAGAAGTGAAAGAAGGCACCAATGCTTTTGAGCCAGGTCTAATAAGAAGATGCTGAAGCAAAAACAATGCCAAAGAAACCTGGTGGTACCAACTTCTTTTGCCTCAGCATACTTCAGATTGTTTGAAAGCTTTCTTGATATTTTAAACAATATCTTGAATTTTCATTGAGGGCCGTTAATAATTTTACTGGATATTTTTCAAATATGGAGTTAAAATATTTAGTAACTCCATATTTAGTAACTTCATAATACTGAGAAATCTCAACTCTGAGTTAACAGTGGAGGGGTAACACAAAATTAGATAAATTTTAAATTGTAGGCATAGCCCTTTATCCTTCATGTGACTTGTTTTATTGTATGATACACAGACCTGGTTTGTCGGTCTTGTTGTAGTTTACATGACTAAAGAAACTTTCAGGAGAAATAATTAGATAATTTTGCCTTATCAATCTATATAGCAAACACTTGTATAAATAGGAAGTGTAAAATGCTAGCAGGTATGTAATGGTCATCAATAAGAAGACTGCAAAATTATCTTGGACATAATAAAGAGATCAGTTTTAAATTGACCAGAGACTATCTTACAGGGAAACAATTTCATTAAATAATCTGTTTATTAAATGTGGGGACTCATTATGCCAATAGTGGAGAATTAGAGCTGAAGCTAATTGGTAAAACAAGTGACAACCTCTGGAACAAAAGTGAAAGTGCCTGTTACCAAATGCTTTTTCCAGCACTATTTCACTATTATGATACAAGTGAAAATTCTAAGTAAGTGCATAAGATACTTAAATGTGCTGTTCTGTGACTGTTTCTAAAACAACCTCCATTTTACATTAATGCATTTTATTGATAATAGTTTATAGTAGGAGTTTTACTCTTTTTCTTTTTGCTGTAATTTAATTTTTCTTTTTGCTTTTTGGAGCATAAATTAATATAGTCTATCTGTCTTTTCTTTCTTCCTGGTGCACTAGTATTTTTGATGGTATCAAGACAGGTCTGAAAGAAGTCTTTATTAATTTCAGTAGAATGATTTTTTTTTAGGATAGATGGCTGTCTTTAATACAGTAAAAGGTATTGTAGGTCTTACTTAAGCAGTAATTGATATACAAGTTGTCTGTTCTTGTTTTAGTCCCTGGTGGTAGTTGATTGTTAGTTGAAGTCTGTAGGGTGCTCCCCATAATATCAGCATATTATTAAACTGAGTGGACACAAGTGCCCTTCTAAATTGTAATTTTGTGACTCAACTCTTTTTATACTCTTTTGTGTGGTGTTAATGTATTCTCAAGAAAGCAGAGAAGGGGCAACAAATCCATTCATCTGACCAAGGATTACATTTACATCGCAATGTAAATTAAACTGTAATTACAATTTTGCTACTTTGTGTTTTCTATTTTATTTTTCTTCATACCTGAAGTTAGAAGTTAGGAGGTTGGAGGAGGGGGCGGAAGAGAGAGTTTTCTTTATCAGACCCGAGGTGCAGAAGTCTTTTTTATATAGTATACAATGTGTGTCTATTATGTGTTATCTAAGTATGTCCCTATGTACTTTAAAACAACTTGCTTTTCAAGTACATATTTTTTATATGTACTTAGATAAACACATTACATCTTGCAGGGTTTTTATTTAATATAATTGCCATAGTATCTCCCTTTATTTAGACTGTCTTAGTTTGAGTTGGAGATTTGTCATTTGGATTATACTTGATTATCTTCTCTCTTTCCTATGCATTTTTAAGTTATCAGCACCATGTTCAATATACATTTTCTTTCCATCTACCAGCATATTTTTAGCTTCATAGTTCACTAGTTTAAATGTGCAAAGTGCAGAAATTCTTAGATCTGTAGTTCAAACAGCAGGTGCTAATCATGAAATTAATGTAAATACCTGGTATATCCCTAAAAATGTCCACTATTGTACTATTTTGAATGTAATATGATACATTTTCTAAACAGATTGCTGTAACACTTTTTCATATCTCATATTTACCCAAAACTAACAGTCTTCAAGTTTAAGATGACCCCCTGATAATTAGATCCTATACATGCAAAACTAGAAATCTCTTATAATTTTCCATGTCTAGAATCTCATTATTGGAGGGTTGTCTTAAATTCACCCTCACCACCACCTCTGCTGAAGTGAGGAAAGCAGAGGCAGGGGGACAACCAGTGAGGAAAGCAGCAGTGGGAGGGTAGGCAGCCTCAGCCTGCCCCTTGCCCCCTGGTCCAGTGCAGGGCAACACCCTGGCAGTTGCACCCCTGCCAACTGTCCTCCTTGCCACTTGCCCCCTGGTGTCTGCTTTCCTGATCATTTGCATCCCCCTACCACAACTTGGTGCCTGCCACCCCAGGCACTTGCCCCCACACCATATAATCTCCCCTGTATTCCCCTCACCTACACTGCACAATCTCCCCCACACTCTCCCCCTGGCGTTATGCAGTTTCGCCTCAACTCGTCCCCTGTACACACACACACACAAACACACACACACACCAGTCTGTTTTAGGCCAGAGCCAGAGCCCATGTTGAGTGGGGTAAAAAAACCTTGTCGTGGATTTGAGTAAATATGGTAAATGACATTCATGGACTGTCTTTTGTCTCGTAGAGCAGTAAGCAACACAGCCAAGTACTGCACGGATGTAATATGTGCAATATGTGTATAATACCTCTTCAAGAAAAACTAGAGTAAAATAATTTACATGCAATACTAACACGGACTTTTTTATTTTTGTGTCTTTATACAATTTAAATGTTTGTTTAATTATTTTAACAGAATAAAAATGAGTTCACATTCTATTTCTAAAAGTAATAGTCTCTAATATGATGTTCTCAGGTGCAGTTGGAATTCTTTTTACTATCAGTGTACACTGCCCTTGGAAAATTGAGCATCTTTTGTGTATGGCAGCTTGAGACCTGAGAGGGAATGTTAATCTGAACATGAATTGTCTGTCACTCCAGCTTTCAACCTTAACCTTAAACTCAAACACGTTGAATACAGTAGCAATCACTGGTCTTTAAAGCACGCCCTTCATGAAGTCAATTGCTTGTTAGGATAAAACCTCAGGATTTTGCCTAGGTTATGATTCTCCTTAATCCCATTCTATACAAGAAATCAACATGAACTATTTTTTTTAAGGGTTAGTACAAAACAGGTCTGACACTCTGGGTGGTCCATGCTGATAAGAGAAACATTATGATTCCATTTTAGGAAAAAGTTTGTGATTAGGTAGAGCACTAAACATTGATTTAATTAGCACAACTTCTTGTAGTGTAATTATTACACTTGGGTAAACAGGTCTTTAAAGGCTACAGCCAACTTTGCTTCCCTCCAGAAATAAAGATTTGAAATACCTACAGACCAAGAAATTAAAAAGATACTTGTATGTATTTATGGAGTGTGTCTGATACATTACTTTGTCAATATTTCAGTATTTATCTCTGCTTGGCAATGAGGATATGTTATATGTACTTCAGATTTCTACCTTAGCACCTCACAGTGTTTCTTTTAATTTTTTCATTTAAATTTAGGATTCATTTGATCAAAGACAAAGATGCCATAGATCATTATTTGGCGATGAATATCAAAGGGTTGTCAAAACAAGAGGCTGCTGCGTAAGTATGGCCTTTTTGAGGCATTTTAACATACAGCAAGTTTATTGTTTCCTTTGTTTCTAGTCATCATAATCATTGAAATCTAAATTTCCCCAGGCCTTACACCTTTTCAGTGGAACTTGGCATTTAAAAATTAAAACTCATATTAAATAATGATGGTTCACTTCTACTGATCTTACATATATCAAAGCATTTAATTCTATGGCTTTATTAATTTTCATATTTACCAAGGTATTATTTTACATTTGCAATGTTATGGTTAAGATTGTGTCAGTAATTGTATTTGAAATCACTTTTTTTGTCCTCAGTGGAAACCTCTCCTGGGGGGTTGACAGTTCATATACAAGAATAAATATTCTTGTAATTTTGAATTAATATTTAGGCAACCCCAAATACTGATTATTTTTTAAAGGTGCGGCACTTAGTACACCATTAGTTCTTTGAAAAGTCGATGAATAAAAACAATCTAGATACCTTTTGATTTCTTACCGCTTTTCTTACCACTAAGTTATTTACACTTTAAAATTACAAGAGTCTATAGATTGACTACATTTGCTGGAGTGTTTTAACAGATCTGGGGTTTGGCTCCATCAAAATTAATGAAGGAATCATAACAAATCTGAATTACTGATAGCTAAAATGGAATGATTTATTTATTTCAATATTTAAATAATAAAAATATGTCCATACAAGGGCTCTAGGCACCTTAACAATTAATATTGCAACATAGCCCCAGCAGCACTAAAACAATCAATCAGTCAGAGACAGGAACTCGACCAACCAGCCACATACTAAAAATCTTGTTTCTCCCCTTCACTATTCCAGGAATAGTCCTTCAACTATCTCTCAAAACTCTATTACAAAGATTTTTCTTACAGCATATCTTGAAGGTCACCAGATTCAGGCTATTTTTGACCAAAGGGGTAAGTTAAATAAGTCCTGAGATCCTAACAAAGAATACCTTGCCAGCCCTAGCCCTCTTTCTTTTATAATAATTCAAGCCTGGCACCTCTACTTACCATTGCTATGGCAATATGATAGATTTAATAATTGTGAAAGCTCCCTGAAGTATCAACAGAAAAGATTCTAATGTAACTTGGTATGATGTGCTAGGAAAGCATTCTGTGTTAAAACAAACTTATTCTTTACTTTCTGTGGACTTCTTAAGAGGGACTCTTCTGGAAGGCAAATACAAATGGATACAAATCATGTAACAGATTATGACCCTCTACACATTGATTAAGGAATTAAGAGATTTAAATTGCCCTTTTTGCTCCTTTATATGAGTTGTTTGTCATGCATCACAGTGCAAGAGATGGGGCTAATTCTAGTCACATGACAACTGGAGCAGAGTCAGTGAGCTGGAATTGATAGTAAGTGGAACCTTGAATCCATTTCCTCAGCATACAAGACAGCATGGCTGGGCCAGCATGACTGATGGAGAAAACGATGCCAAATATAAGAGCTGGCATGAGTTACTTCTCCTTTTTCCTCAATGAAGAAGTAGTCTAGTCCCTGGTCTTCTGCAGAGGCAGCACAACTCTATGCTGCCCTTTATTTAATAGTTGTGATACAAACATATGAAGGACAAATCTTTCCCTCCACACGCTGTGGGAATAGACAAGCTTGAATGAAGTAAAGCTAATATGTTTTCATTGTGCAGAGGGAATGAAGACAGAATACAGGGAATGTGTATGGGAAGAAACATGTTCACCTATGATTACCCTTTTAATATGGAGAGACAGGAAAACTTGTTATGGTGAACTATAGCTACAGTGATGGGAAATTGGCTTTCCCT